AAAATTATTTTGTTGCAGGCTCGGTCATTAGCATGTTCACAAAAGGTTAAATATGGAAAAGTCATAAACTTATTATCATTGCTACTGGTTTGGCACCTTTGTCCCAAGGGGGTTAAAATTGATTATAAGTGCTTGATTCTTCACACATTCTAATTGGTTCTCTATTCTCCTTTACATTTTTGGTGTTTTTTGTAACTCTAAAATTTGATTTTTGAAGTTGAAGTTTCTTAAAGAACTTGGAGGAAAGCAAGAAAGAAAATGATTCTTTGTGATATTGGAAGGCTGGCCCTACCATGAAGGAGTACAGGTTTCACAGGGCCTTAAATCTTAAGGGTCCAAATTTCCATTAAAGACAACAAAAGAAATTCAACTTTTTTTTTTGGATTTAGAAGACGGGATAAAATAGGAGGTTTGAGTTGGACTAAATGGTCCAATGATCCAATATCGACTCTTACTTTGTAATTCTTTTATGAAGGGACTTTTTTTTTCCTAATGGTAGGTAAACAACATATTCAGTGGCTGTGAGCATGGGTTAGATAATATTCTAAATTGAGTTTTGGTGTTTTTGGGGCGTTCAGCAACCACAAGTGTATGTGGTGTCCTTTTGGTGTGAGTGTTCATTTGAGACATTTATTTTGATGCTGAAATGTTTTACTCCTATGAAGAATAATATATTTGAAGTTGTTTAAAAGATTGGATTATCTTTTAGGATGCACATATATTTCTAGACTTTGAGTAGATGTTTTATTCATTTTTATCAACATTTTATCGGGTAGAAGGCTATTTGACTAAAAAAAGTCTTTATTGGTTTAAATTTTGTATTAACTATATTTAATAATAAAAATTTGTTAAAAATAGTTTCAAATTTCAAATACCAAATAGTACATATCAGAATTCATATCCGAATGTCATAATATATTAGTATTACTATCATGTATAATATTGTCGTTACTTTTATTTTTATTAACATTTTATAAACAAACTTCATTAACTAATAACAAAATTTGCATCAATTTGTTTAAAAATACAAAAAAGTTGTATTTTAGGACAATCAAAAATTTTGAATGTTCTATTTTTAGTCAATCCAAAATAACAAATGTTATATTTGGATTAAATTTTAATATTCTATTAAAAGTGTTAGATTACTCATTTATATCATTTGTATACAAAACGCCAAATGACTAATAAATTGTTAGAAAAGAGTAAGGAACATATCAAAAATAGTCTAAATTGAAACTACATGCATCGTAGACATTTGAAAATATTAAGAAACATATCAAAAATTGCCTAAAGGGAAACTACAAGGATTGTATATCCTTTGCAACCGAAATAAAATTACACGCAAAAAGAAAACTATTCACCGCTCCACGCATTCAATTCCCGTAGCATCCATCGTGATTCACCAACAACATTGATCATGGAATTGATTTCATGTTCTTTGAAATGTGTTTCCAAAAGGAGAGATAGTTCGACAACTTTGTATAATATATTTTTCTTTTGAACTCTAGAAACAATGGATTTTTTTTACCGAAATAACTCTTGGTCAACATGTTGGAAAGAGGGTATTTTTGTCAATAGTTCTTTTATGTTCGTCTGAAGATGACATGTGATATTTCAAGCTAAATAGAAAACAATTTCCAACTCGATTATGTTTTATGATGACATTCAAGAGACAAACAATTCCAAATGTAGGTATGTATCTTCAGAAATAAGTTTTCTCAATTGACCAATATTATGTGGCACTTTCCAGAGGGATATCACATGCCTATACAAAAGTATTTGTGAACCCTGGCAAACAATTGAATAGCAGTGAAGTCAATAGGAAGAATGTGGTGCATAAAAAGTGTTGCACGATTAATAATTCACAATCAATCATAAAAAGTGTTGCACGATTAATAATGCACAATCAATCATGTGTTCGTGTACATTTATAAAGAATCCAACTTTTCATGTTAATTCTTATTGATTTCGTTTCTATTAACATGACTCTTATTGGTAACTGTCTAGATGTAGTAAACTTATTTGCGCAAAGAACTAATCGTCTTTAGAAACTAATTTTTGAAAAAAAAAAATATTCGCACCCGACGCTTGGCACGTAACAATGTGCATTTATTTTTAATCCAAAACAACACCTTTTTTTAACAAAAACATCAACATACTTCTATTTTTCCATTCAAGCTGAAGAGAAAACAATTTCCAATTCGATTATGTTTCGCAATGACAATCAATAAAGCTCATTGACAAACAAGTCCAAATGTAACTATTTATCTTCCAAAATCGATTTTCTCGCATGACTAACTTTATGTGGCATTTTACAGAGAAATATTATGTGTCAATACAAAAATATTAGTGAAGTCAGATAAACAATTCAATGATATCAAAGTTTACGCATCAAATGTGATGTATAGAAAAATGTTAGCACGATTAATAATGCACAATAAATAATGTGCTCATATATATTTGTAAAGAACATCAACTTTTATTTTAATTCTTATTGATTTCATGGCATGAATTTACTGATAATTGTTTAAATGTAGTAAACTATATACAAAAAAAAAATTGAATCATCTATAGAATTAATGTCTGAAAAAAAGTATTCGCACCCGTCGCTTGGCACAGGTAAACGGCTAGTATATATATATATATATATATATATATATATATATATATATATATATATACACACACACACACACACACACGGAGTGGTTCAAACGAGAACCAAAAAAAATTAAAAAAACTAAGATCCAATTAATTAAGGAAAATACTTGTTAAAACACGGAATGACATAAACCGTAATCATCAAGAAATAGAATGCCTACTCTGTATCATATTAACAAAGAAGTACGGTGGCAATTTCGTAAATATAAAAAACATATTAGCGGCTTCATTAATTTTCCAGAACAATTCAAAACCCTAATTCAATTCACGTCTTTTTCAAAACAACAAAACATCCCTAATTCAATTCACTGCAAATCAATCAACGATCATTCAGACAAAATTCAAAAACAACAGAAATCTATTCAATACAATGACAAAAATACGGAAAACAAGAGAATTTGGAGAAAATCGACAAAGAATTCAACTGATGAAAAAATGACTCAAACACACAAAAAAAAAACAACAAACTACGAACATTTCAGCTAAAGAAACTCAATTCACACCGATCAAAACTACAACAAAAAAGAAGAAACATCGAAGAGGATGATTACAATAGAAGAATTTCAAGCCCTAAATACAATATAAAACGTAATAAACTCAAAAAAGTTGAAAAAAGAACAAATATTAGATGATTTCTATGTAAAATCTTCGTATTTACTTATAACGTAATTTTTTTTATAAGTATGCATTTCTTAAACTGTGAATAGAGATTTTATAGATTTGAATATAAAAACAGTTTTAAGTTAACATTGTAATAATGATTTTAAACTATGATTGTTGAATTTTAGAATGTGAATATATATTAATGATTTTATAGATTTACAAATTTAAAATAATGATTTTAAACTATGAATGATGATAATGATTTAAAATTGTGATTATAGAAGATTAAATATATAAAATGATTTAAACTATTATACATGATAAATGATAAATGTTGAGATTATAAAATATAAAATTATTATTTTAACTTATGTATCTATCACATATGAAGAAATGACAATAGAACAAACAAATGTATTTAAAAAAGAAAAATTAAATTGTGAATTTAATGAAATTTTAAACTATGGATTTACCTTTAGTGTATATAAAATATCAAATATTTAATATTACCAAATGATTTAATGTTAAAATGTGCATGTGAAAACAAAAGAAAAGAATATAAGGAAAAAAGCATTTTGATGAAAAAATAAAAAAAAAAAAGTAAATATGTTCAAGGGACAAAAAGACAAACAATATCACAAACACCTAACAATATACATCAACAAAATCAACGTACAATATAAAAGTTTCTTAATTATATTTTATCAATTAAACTGTGAATTATCTGTTAACTTGTGAATTTTGAAAAAAAAAAAAAAAAAAAACAAAGTTGTTGACAAGAAAAAAAAAAAAAAAAAAAAAGAAAACGAAGAAAAAGGAAAAAGAACAAGAACTCAACGTACATTTTAAAACTATATATAAATAATTTAGTACTTTTTTATTTCTCATATAACAGTTCCTTATCATTATATAATGAAAAAATTTATAGGGAAAAAAAGAAAGAAACGGAAACAAAAGCAAGCAATAAAATATAAAAACAAAAAATTAAAACAGAGCACTGAGAAGATGATGACAAGTTTCAACCATTAAGAACAAGGGTTGCAACACAAAGCGTATGTGAAGCTGTAAAGATATTGAGCAGTGAACAAAGAGACTGTGTAGAAAGCTTAGGTTTAAGATCACTCTTAAAGATGACATTGGATGTGATTCCTTCAAAAATAGGCTTCTTTTCTGTGTTTAGCTACAACCATACAACAAACTCCATTGATGTAGGACATGGAAGAATAACAATAACAGAAGAAACAATAGTGAAAATTCTTAGGTTAAAAATGAAGGCATGGATCTTGAAACAGTTGACGACTGTGAACAAGATAACAACACATTGATTAAATGGAAAGAACAACATCCAAAAATTACAAAGTTTGCTCAAGCACTGGTAGATCTTATAGAACAATAGCAAATTACAAATGAGATGTTTGTGCTAAACTTCATTGTACTTTTTGTCAACTCAATCATAGAGAAAACAACATCTGGAGCCATAGAAACAAGATTGTTGCTGAAGTTGATTAAAGTTGAGAATAAAGAAAATATCAATTGGTGTAAGTATATCAATCACACATTGGTTAAAAGTAAAATAATTTAGAAGCCAAATTGTAAAAACAACTACTATGTTGGACCATTACCATTTCTAATTGTAAGAATAGTTTAAACTAATTTAATGTCTCATAAAATAAAAATATTTAATACTAATGTTAAACAAACTTATGTTGTTTTCATGTATCTTGGAGCTTCTGTATATGCATAGAACTCAATGTGATCAACAACAGTTCATTAACAGAAGAATAAGACACCTTCACTTCTGGAACTATGGGAGACTGAAAACAAGACAAACAAATGAAATTGCAAATGGAAAATTTGGAATGGTACAAATTTTGGACAATATGGAGATGATTGAACATGATGAAGAAGAATATATTGATTTGGATAAGGAAGAGAATGAAAAGAATGAGGAAGAATTTTCAGATTCAGATGACAATGAGGATATTGGTGTAGAGGTAATACAACTTATACATAAATCTTAAATAATAAAAATACAAAAAATTATATAAAGTTCATATAAAAACAATAATCATGATACTATAAAAATATTCTTACTATATGAATAGAAAAAGTAATAATTAAGTTGCGAATTTTAGTATTGAAAATGATTTGATTGTTGATAATAATATTAATAAACTATGAATAGAATTTTGACATTTCGATATAAAACATAACACATGGTTAATTAAATTGTGAATTAGCTGTTAAGTTGTGAATATTATAAAATAAAATATTCCTTTTTTATTGTAACCTTGTTTATTATGAAATAACAAAATACATACACCACATGTATTTTTCTTGATGATAGAAAACGTTTAAAAATAATAAAATAGAATAATTAATCATTGTACTATGAAATTATTGTTACTATATGAATACACAAAATAATGATTAAGTTGTTAATTTAAGAATTAAAAATGAATTCATTGTTGATACTAATATTACTAAACTTTGAATAGATTTGTAATATGTGAATACAAAACATAAAACATGTTTAACTAGACTGTGAATAAGTTGTGAATTTCATAAAATAAAATATAACACATTATTAGTTTGTTTTATTGAAATCTTATTTATAATAAACTAACAAAAAAATATACAATACAGGGTTTTTGCTTAATGATAGAAAAAGATTACAAAATGATATTAGCTTACAAAAAGAGAATGGAAGACACATTAATGAAGGCAAAAGGAAAACATGCAGATGACATAACAATTAAAAGATGGTTTGTGCAATATGAGAGTTTATTCAAGTAGCATATTGGTGAAACATCAAAAGTGAATGAGAATGAAGTTCAGGTTGAAAAGAAAATAGAAGAATCAGAAGATGAAAATCCAACAAACAATATTGCATTTCAAAAAGCAATAGTTTTGTATACACCGAAAGAGAATCAAGTACAACACACTAAAGCTGAAAACATAGTGAATGCAGAAGAAGCTGAAGAAATGGTTGTATACCAAACAACAAACACATAACAAGAAATTCAAGAAGAAGCAGGAGGAGGAAATAGAAGAAACAGAAAATAAAAAAATTGAAAAAATAATCAATGCAAAACAACATCAAGAAATGGTTATGTATCAAACAACAGCCACACAGGAAGAAACTGAAGAAGAAGACAAAGTCAATACAACTCAAAAAACACCATCACTTATTGATTCTCAATCTATTCCAAAATCATCAGCTTTCATACCAACATTAGAGTTACCAACAATTTAACATGGAAATCATATTCAAAATAAGAAATGGGGATGCAGTAGAAAGAATTTTCTTTGAAACATTAATCCCAGGTGCCTACATTCAACATAAAGTCATTGATTGCTCGTCGATTATGTTAAATGATGAGGAGAGCAGAAAACAAAATGGATCTCCATTAAGATTCTATTTTCCAACAAGAATCATAGTAAGTAACATTTATATTATGTATATATATATATATATATATATATATATATATATATATATATATATATATATATATGTTAATAGAATAACAAAATTCTAACAAAATAAAATATTTAATATATGTAATTAGACTGAACACATGACAAATAAGGAGATACCAATGGAGGACATATGTATAATATTTGATCAAAAAGCAACAGAGGCAATGAAATTTCATCGATTTGCACATGATTTTGATAAACTAGGATTTGTAAGTTACGACAATCTTTTATATTATATTATATTATATTATATTATATTATATTATATTATATTATATTATATTATATTATATTATATAATATATATATATATATATATATATATATATATAATGACAATTTACAATTTAATATAAATGCAGCTATTCTTTCTAATCAAGAAGAAAATCCATTACTATTTGTATTGTATAAATCTCAAAAAGATATCAGTAGTTTTTATTGATAGTCATAAAGGAATGTCAAATGATAATGTTGAATAAGGACTATTACCACAATCTTTTGTACGAATTAATATTTTAGATTTATTCCAAATTAAATTGTGAATTTTCAAAATGACTGAATTTATTTTCTTTGTAATGCAGGTAGAATTGATGGCAAATTTTATGATGGAAAGAGGATTCGAAATAGCATTTCATTTGCTTACAAAAGAAATTTCAGTACTTAAAATCAATTGGTGGTTAAGAAACAATTTTGTGGAAAATGGAGTTGCATTAATGAGACATATGGAATGTTTTTAAGGACTAAGAGCAGATGGGATTGTGACATTGAGAAGGATCAAAATGAACAGAAAGAAAAATTAACTAAACTAAGATTAAAGTATCTCACAAAACTACTATTGAATGACATCAACTAAAATTTAAAAAAAAAAAAAAAAAAAAGTTGCTGAAGGATTGTAATTTGATAAAAAGAAGAAGAAGAAGAAGAAGAAGAGAAAAAACATCGGTGAAGAATGCAATGCAGAAGCATAAGGAAAGATTTAAGCTCATGGAAGATGTTTAGAAATTTCAAAAAAAAAAAAAAGAACAAACAAGATAACAATGATTTATGTACATTTTATTTTGAGAACAGTTTGACTTTTTTCTGTTTTTTATCATGGGGTACTGATGAATCTACTGATTAATATATGAGAATTTCCACAGTATATTACTATGAATGTTAAAACTTATTGAAGATTTCTATCTATTTAAACAAATATGGTGTTCATGATGTTTTTATTTTCAGTAATGTTTGCAAACATAGTGAACATGTTGGAATTATATATTTTCTTAGCTAAATATGAATTACTAGTTAATTGTGCATGTTGATAAAAAATTTATTAAGAAAATTAATGTTTATCATAACTTTGACAATTGTGAATATTTAAATTAAAACAAAACGGCTAAAGAATTATGTTGCGAATTTAATTTTTGAAACTAAAAAAAAAAAAAAAAATTAAAAACCTTTGTATTAGTGCTGATAAATCTACTGTTTACATATATGAGAATTTCAATATTATATTACTATGAATATATAATCTATGAATGTTAAAAATTTATAATGAAATATCAATGTTTTATATAAAAAAAAAAAAATTAAACTCTATATAAACGAATTTGCAATACATCTTCTATTTAAAATGTGACTTTTTTAAATATATGTTATAGAATTTAAAATAATTTTAATGAACAATGTATATACTATAATTTTTTACTGTAATCTTTTACATGATATATAAAATTTATTTTTTTAAATATTAAACAAATTATTTACTAATAATACTTAAAATATTTGAAACAAATACTTTAAAAAAATTAATTGAAATGATACAATGAGGAAAAATTCAAAAGTGGAACAAAATTTACAAAGACCAAAGTTGAAGAAATAATTGTTAAAATACAAAAATATCAATATTATAGTTATGTTAAAACAAAAAGAATCCAAATTATTATATTAATAAATGACATGTGCCACTTTTGTAAATAAAACAAATTTATTAGGGTTTTACGGATTTTGGTAAATAACAATAACACCTTAATTTTTCAAACAAATTTTTCATTTAAAAATAACATAATTATCCCAAATTTCAAATCACAAAAATCCTAGAAGTATCAAATTATCAACACATATTCCAAATTATTTATGTTACAAATCCAGGATCCTCCCAAAACAGATCTTCAAATCTAGTGTGTGTGTGTGTGTGTGTACAATCAAGATGGTGCCTTCCCGTGATCCTGAAAGGTACCTGAAACACATAACACATAACGCGGTAAGCACTAAGCTTAGTGAGCTTGTCACACCCCGACCAATGGCGGAAACGCCGGGGTTGCGACTTAAACATTTGGATCATAGTCAACAACATATAATGATATAATAACAGAATTTATTCGACATTACATTCATCCGAAGTATGAATATGAAAAAACACACTGTTTAATAGTCCAAAAGCATTATACACGGATTTCAATTCTTACAACATAAAAGGGACAAAAGGCTACTATAGAGCCAACAATTTATTTTCAACATCAAACCCATCATCCTCACACGTGGTGAGAGTTCTTCTGGCCACCTTGAACACTTGGAGACACATACATTTTGAAAATACGTCAACAATAATGTTAGTGAGCTTCATAGGTTTTCTTTTGACTCCGATGATTTTTATAATTCAAAATAATGTTTCCAAAGACCGGTAAATTATAAAGCATATTTTTCTATTCGGCCACTTTTTAAACGATGAATATTAATCATTTTCATGATGATTTATATTCTTTGGATCTAGTCCGTTACGAAAAGTTATGTCGTGAGGAGAAGTATATAACGTCCTAACACTCGACACTCTCGGTCTTAAATTGGGAGAATTGACTCAATCTAGATCTATACGTTTTCGAGTAAAAATCTTCAATCTATTAATTTGCCCATCACCGAGACTATTCGTCGCTCCTCCACAAATCACATAGGCGCAATAAACAAGCCACACAGGCACAATACAAATAAATATAGAGGAATCGAGATCGTTAATTCGTTACTAACGTTTAAAAGCAGTCGTATAGTAACGAAGAAAGAAACACTTGACGCTTGTTGCCTCGTCAGACGAAATGGTAGCTAGCAACCACAGACGGAAAATAACCATTCGTATAAATCCTTCCATAAGAATTAGATCTACACCAAAGTTCTTTATTATAAATCTATACCGTGTACATAGATCTACAGTATATGATTCCTCCTGGATTAACGGTTATAGAGTTAGGTGTCGATTCCAAGATCGGATCCTTACAAGGGAAAAACACACCATCAACAAACTCTCTCCTCCACCCCTTTCGATACATTCCTCCCACAACCACACACGGGATACACAATCCGCGAAATACATGACAGTAAAAATCTGCCGCTTCCAATGATCGCCAACGCGAGTCTTTATTTATGATTTTATTTTTATCTAGTGCATTTAGTTAAATATTAAATTTAACCTAGCTTTCAAATAAAAAGACGGTATTGACTAAAATAATTTCGATCTACCAACCGATAGGAAAGACGTTCCTTTAGCGTAGTCGAGTACTTCATACGTGTTAGTGTTACATCGGTTGACCGGTTGTTTCTTTAATCGAATATTTTTGTATTTTTAATATTTACTTAATGTTGAAACGTATTATTTTTGTTTGTACGTAAACTTTAGTCTTAAAAATACAAACACATTATTTATCAACAAGATTTCGTATTATACCATAATATATAACTACTTGTGGTTTATTCTCATACTCTTGATATCATTTTATAATTCATTTGCATATTTTTATTTTATCATCTCGTTTAATTCTTTACTATCAATACTTGATGAAAAATAAGCTTAATGCCTTAATATACAAAAGTCATATGGTTATACCTATCATGACAAGTTAAACATGTTTAATTTACCAAAAATTTTGACATAAGTTCTTAACGATACTTTTATTTGTCCCAACAAATAATATAATACCAGATTACTCTTATCTAACTTTTTTGTTTACACAAGTGGTTGTAAATAAGTCTAACATTTTATAAACATTTTGTGTCTGACCATTACTAGCCACCACCTTTATTACAAACGTCATTTGTATATATATATATATATATATATATATATATATATATATATATATATAAAATAAACATTGACTCTAACAATTTTTGCATCTAGTACTAACTGTGTATGCATGTAACATATAAACTTTTTGCCATTTTATTATATCAAAATACTCAAGTAAGTGTCTCCCCCAAATAAGTAAAAATGTACAAACGGGGCCATAAAGACTCACATTTGGAGCGTAATTCTCGAGTTTAGACAGGAGGATTCGGTGAGGTTTGTGCTCGTTCAAGACCCGATGCCTTCACCGACAATAAACGAATCTAGTTTTAGATTATTGAGCTTCACTAAGGTGTTCAAAACAGCAAGTATTTCAGATTTTTAAGGTGAAATAAACTTACCCAAAACAACTACAGGGGTTAGAAACGGGTTGTCGAGAGATGTTTTCGGTAGCTTTCTCGCCCCTTTTCGTTCCTGTTTCGCAGCAGCACTTGAG